CATTGAGCATGTATGGACTATGGAGTATAATTTATTGGAGAATTCTAATCTCGTTAGTTCAATGGGGATCACGATAGAATGATATACGGCCTCTAGAGAGTCAATGTATATGTACAACATACAAACACAGTAGGAACAAGGGTGCATTACACAATGAGACACTTTTTGAAGTTTTGATTTCATTATAGACATTTTCATAAATTGAAGGCATTTTTTACTGTTTAAATTGCGAAAATACTTTTTTTGCCCCTCATTTATTACAACTATGAGTGTGTAAAAGTGGCTGATTTTTGTCCCTCCTCCGCAACTCTCTCATCACACAACTCTCTCATCACACAACTCTCTCATCAGGAATCGAAGACGACTTAGCTTCTCCAGCATCGTCGAAGCTTTGGGTCCGTCGCGTAAATCGTAGTGAATAATCGTGATTCTCCAGCATCGACGAAGCTTTTGAAGCCTTTGGGTCCGTACGTTTTGTCTCTTCTCTCAATTCGAAAGAGCTCTTTTTCGAGAAGATTCCATATCTAACTCTAATGAAACATACAAATCCAAATTTGATTCAATTTTGCTTGAATCTGGTTTTGATATTTTTTTTTTGTGGCAAACCAAAGGATTGACAAAACGTACACAAGGTGTTCGGAAAAATGCCTCAAAGAAAAATCAGATTGTTATACACAGATGGTAATTCACTAATAGATAGGAAGCATGTAGCGAGTTAGACGTAGGGTATCTGGGTTTGTCGAAACCCGCATCGTTGAAAATTGTGATGTTATTAGCACATCACGTATGGATAGATGTTGGTGGATGGTCACACATAGATACTCCCGCGTGGATGGTCACATATGGATGTCCACAATTTCGATTGGTTTGAATCCAAACGGCGTTAACCATATGGACAACGCAATATGGTCACATTATATATTTACTATGTCACGTTTAACTTGTTTGAATCCAAACTGTGTGTAACCTTATGAACAACACAAAATGGTGTTCTTTGATATATTAATTTTGGGGTTCTGTGATATATTAGTTCTTAAATTTCAGCTTCTAATCATGAATCATTTTGTGTTCACTAAGCATTGACCAGAAGGTTATAAACAAATGGACAATGAGTGTGATTGCATTGCTATATTTCTGTCCAGCAATCCGTATCCACGAGTAGGTTGGATACGATCCATCCCATTATGTCCTTCGATCCTCATCCACGATATCGTGTCCATGAGACAAAGCTTTTTCTGGGTTAGTCGAAACCATATTTCTCTCAAAAAGAGGAAACATAAGCGGTGGAATAACCGATTCCCGTCTCCTCCGGTGCAAAACAAAACTTGATCATTTGTATGGGTAAACTCATAAGAATCTGAAAATTATATATCCACAAAATCACGACCATCTTATATTATCCATATGGATTTTATTAATTATATGAGTAAACTCATAAGAATCTGAAAATCATACATCCACAAAACCTCGACCATCTTATAGTATCCATATGGATATGTACTGAGGAATGGGAATAAAATGCCTAACAACCAAAAGAAGCGTTGCATTTAATCTCAGCCACTAGATTTTAATGATTTTGAACGGTTGAGATTAGACAAAATCTAAAAATATGTTTTCCTTCCCTTCAGGGGTAAATTTGTCCAAAATCTCTCGAATTTTGTGCAAAGATGAGAAAGTGTGTTTGGTTTTGGGAAGTGTCTATATATGTTATGTGTTTCCAATAAAGTGCCTCTATGTATAATTTTTCCTAGGAACAATTCACTTTGCCAACATTACATCATGCGATAGGTCGTACGATCCAAAAACACATATCGATAAAAGAAATTGACCTTAGAGTGCCTACCTTCCACATACAATTCAATAATTCATTTTGCTATTTGTGAAATTAAACAAATATTCAAATGATGAAGCCAAGAATCGGATACTTTAGAATCAAATAACAATCAGTTAGATATTATTTCATATCTCCTTTGTTTCGAAAAACGAATGAGTGTTTATGATAAAGTGAGATAATTAAATTCGTATTCCAAGTTATTGGATCAAGGATCAAGTTGGGCTGATGGCCATGTACGCATGGTACGTGAAGTGAAACACAGTGGGAACACTCCTAATATGTTCAAGATATTTTTATGTGGCATGCTAAGCCTGCTAAAAAGGATTATATTATGTATATACTACCATATTTAACATATAAGCAAAGTTTGCCAAGTTTGAGTTCAAATACCATCATGATAATTGATAATTGTCTAAAAAAAAAAGTTAAAAATAGTTACAGAAAAAGCAATATACAACATGTAAAAGTCAAAAGATTGGGCGCGTGTATTTCGCGCGTGACGATCTTTTTTCTCTCAAATCGCAGTTGGACTTCTCTTCGCCGTGCACCTTCATTATCTCTCCGGTCCAGTTGCGACCGGCACCGTGAGAGGGCCACTCTCTTCTCCGCATCTTCTGTGTCTCCAGTGATTGGACCTCTTAGATCTGCTCTGATTTGTTCTGTTTTCTTGCGGTGAGTGGGATGAACCTCCGCTGTATATGACGTTCTGTCTCGGTGGTAGAATTTTCTTTCACCGTGTAAGCTCGCTTGACGATGGTGAATTGTACGGTGAAGATCAGCTACTTTCCTGCGCTTGCCTAACGCCACTCGTCCGGCCCAGATATATTTTTGTAGATCCATCTTCTCCCTTGCGATTCTGGTGACAGAGTGAGCATCGGCTTGCTGCGGAGCGACGCCTGCGGTAGTTTTTGCTTCTTTGTTTATTTTGGTTTCGCTTCTTCAAGCCTAGCTTGGATATCCCATCACGACTCGCTCTTCATCTTGGGGTGGTTTGGGCTTCTTTTTGATGGTCGCGTCTGCTCAAGACCACGACTGCAGTTTTTGAAGAGAGAATCCTTTGTCTTCATCTTCTAGTCCGAGTTTGTCTGTGGGTTCGATGTTTAGAGATTCTCCATGGTTGAGTTGGAGTTTGATTTTTCGTCTTTTGTCAATCTTTATTCATTTATCTTTCAGATTTGTTAACAGGGCAAGGCTTCTTGGCTAGTGTTTATGTGTTCTATTGTGTTCGATTTGGCTCGATGTTATGATATCTCATCCTCTAGATTTCTACTTGTGGACAACTGTAGAACCTATGGTTGAGTGATTGTTGTGGAAAATCGAGTGGGAGGCCTCGACTTGATCGAACCATATTACGCTACCTTGTGCCTACGGAGATGTAACTTTGGAGAGGATATTGCTACCGGTGGTGGCACGGTATCGACTCTTTGTGTTTGCATCTCAAGTATATCTAGCTTTGATGTTTGGTTACAAGCCAAGATATTGTTTGTGTCTCGCTGCTGATGGTGTTGTTGTAGTTGAGGTATTTGTGTTACTTGTGCGTTTGGTTTTGTATACTTTAGTCTTGTGGCCTAGAAGAGCTAGTAAGACTGATTGTGGCCGGTGTAACTTTGCTATGATTTATCTAACTTTGTGCTTGCTGCTTCAGAGGAACTGGAGAGAGTGAGTTTACACTGTCTGCATTTATTGGTTTGTAAGGTTTTCTTTCTGAGATACCTCATGAAATTGTTCTCCTACTTGCTCTCGAATGACTCACGTGGTGTATGTGATCGAAGACATTGTAGACCTTCCCGTTGACGGTTCAGTCTGGGGCTTCCAATGAAAGTCTTCTAGTGTCATAAGGTTTGGTATGCTGGTTTTGCGCTCTATTTCTACATCCTCTTCTTGAGCATCCGATTTGCCGAGGACAATAATATCGTCATCATTTCATTACTCCGTTAGCCTTCATGCTTCCGTTGAGTTATGGACTGAAAATCGTAATGTAATATGCTTCCATGTTTTATCTTTTTGTCGTGGAATCATCTTGTAGATTTATATTGCCTTGACTTGTAAATCTAAAACATTTTCATTTTATATGAAATATTTACATTATTAGCAAAAAAAATGTACTGTATATATTAAATTGAAAAGACTCGTTACGTACGTAACTATTGTGCATCTAATTGGTAATTTGCAAAACAATATAATACTAGTGTATTATCCGCGCCCTACGCGGGATAATAATATTTAATNTTCTTTTAAAATATTACACTTAATAATTAATTAGGTATATAAAAAAATGCAATATATTTTTATAAATTATAAAATAAAAATTATTAAACCAAGATAATCTAAAGTTATGACAATAAATCAAGATAACAATAAAGCAGCTAAATATCAAAACAATAAATAAAAAATATATTTTATAAGTCAAGGATAGTAACATATTCCAAACAACGACATGCCAAAACACAATGGGCAGCAGCAATTATCCTCTTACATTCATCCTCACTGACAATATTTGAAAGAATGGATACAAAATCATCCATCACACTTTTAGAAACCATCCAACACCTTCGACATTTA